AATGCATTTCATTCTAGCAATGAAGGTGCTCAGAAATTCCATTCGCGTGTGGAAAATAATTGAAAAAGTCTCTTAAATTCACTTCTACATGCTTAGCAGTAAGATGCCAGATGCTAGCGGGTCGCAGCCTCTGCCATTGACAACATTATACGGGAACAAACGCAGAGCATCTGTTGCAACTTCAATTTATGTGCATCAAGTCTACGTGTTATTAAATTTTCATGCAGCTTTGCCGATAATCCAAAGCAACAGAGTACAGAACGAAAATTGAAGTCTGGAAAACATTGGAAGCTAAAGAAAATTGAATAGCTGAAAAGGCAACAACAATGCCATGACAATCATCATGGCTATGAACACCAAGATCCAGACGCAAAAGGCATAAAACGGAACCAGGACACATGTGCGTGGGCTTTGACTCAGCTTTTGGCTTTAGCATTGGCTTGGACCAAGCCAAGGCAATCTATAAGATTTGCTGCTTATTATTTACACTACGTTTTGGATGCAATGCCAAGGGATTTTTGAGGGATTTACACGCGCATGACTGTCTGTGCTCCACCAGCCACTCCACAGCTGCTTCCCCTGCCACCTCCATCCACTGCCACTATCATCAAACTTTGGTCCTCTCTTACATCTTGTTTGCTCTCTACGTGCACCTTACTGTGCGTTTTTCTTTTCCATCTGTGTGTAAATTTCAATTTGACTGCTGTTTATATTTGAAATGCGCTTAAGACCTTTGCCAACATAAATCATACTTAGTGCCAGTCGCTTATTCATTTATTTTTGTAGTTGTAGTTGCTGCTGTTTCTGCTTTTGTTGCTGTTTGGCTGCAAGATATTTCTTGGCAAGCTTCTTGGCGTGCATTGTAAATATTTTGCCGTCTTAGACACGCGCCTTGGACCAAAACTTGCTAATGAATTATGCTGCGAGTTGTTGCTATTGTAGCTACTGGCCACGCCCCCTCTTAGCTCCTCTGGGAGCTGCGCATCAGAGCGCAGAAAAAATGCTGCCATTTTATATTCGTTTGGCTGTTGTAATGAAAAATGATGATGATTATGCTAGTAGTAGTTGTTGTTGTGTTGCTGGTCCTGTTCTAGCCATTTCTTTAAGGTAAATATTTTGAGTGCTTGCCAAGTTGGCAGCACTGGTTATTTTGGCTTTAACTTTGCGCTTCGAAATTATCAGCACATTAAAATCTCACTAGCAACAATAATATCAACAACGCGAAAGAGGTCAACAGACATCTTAATTGGTCATTTAACTTGCTGGCATTTAACTTGCATCCCCCCTCGCACACCCTCACACATACTCGTACACACTCTCGTCCCTACAAGCATACTATACTATATATGCACGAGTATAGTATTCCCCTATAACGGAAGCAACTTCTGTTGCCACGCAAACACATAAAACCCAACAAAACGTAACAAAAGGGTGGCCGAAATGACCGCAGCCTGCTGCCTTATGGGGCGCCATATCAGACACGCTGATAAGTACAACTAAAATTGAAGTGTTTGCGCAAGTGTGTGTGTGTGGAAAATGTGCGTGTGTGTCTGTGTGGGTGCTTGCATGCAATGGCTGCCATTAGCACATAAAGCAGTTACTGTTAAGGAGAATGCTGTTATTTTCACCATCCACAACTTGGAGAATGGAATGTAGAATTTCATGCACTCGCTAGAGTGGAACGTTAGACATAAGCAGCTTAACAAATATATTAAAGTTATAAACAAGCAACATTGTCCAAAGCTTAATTTCGCATTGCCAATTTAAAAATCAGTTAACAAATATAAATAAACTAGCTTGCCTTGCTGTGCCACTGAGTTGTAGTGGTTTTGAAGCTTTCTTTCCCATTACCTCCTTTTATTGGCATCGAATAGGTGCTTGATTATTTATTTATTTATGTCAACAAACATTGACTGTCGACATATATATAAAAATTATAAAAATCATGTTACAAATTTACAATAATATCTAATTAACGCCTCCGACCCGGTGGGGGAATATTATTTGCTCTTCGGCTAGCTGTTCCCCGTCTCAAAGACAAGTGTGGTCAGAGGCGTAGATAGATCTACCGGTATAAAAAAGAAAAACTAAACAGAGAGAAGAAGCTTAGAATTACCTAAAAGCTAATTTTAAAGAGAAAAAAGTGAGAAAAAAAATTACTAACACTGCTCTGTTAAATGCATTGATATCAGCGTGTAAGTTATGTCTTTAGACAACATAATACTCTGCATATACACCTAAACCTGAGAGGACCGAGTTAACTTAAATAAATACGTAAGGATGAGCACTGATACGATTAGGAGCTGTCCATCAAATTTTTGTTAAGCGAAGCTCAACATCATATTTCGGAGTATCGTCACACTGTACATGTTTCATGCCTGTTTTGGATGTTCTTCATCATCTCGTTGCACGCCGCAATACACATTCACGAGTCTGTCTCTGGAGAAAATTGATTGCTATAATTAAAAACTGGTGAAGGTAAAATTGTATTTATTTATTTATTTATAAACCCTATCGTAGGCTTACAAGTATCGGTGTACTTTTAAAATATTACGCTAGCCATTTTGATACGATTTGCATTCAATCGGGCAAAATTTAAAACGTAGACTTCAACAATATATCAAATAAATCAAATAAAACAGCCAAAAATGGTGAATGAAGGTTTTTAAATTTAAAACACATTTTTAAGTCGATTTAATAAAAAAGCAACATTTCATACCAACAACTTTCCACGTCGAGCTCTAATTTCTCAAAACCATTAGTCATGAGACTCTGTTTCGATTACATTCTCGTACATAAATTAAATGAAATTGGATTTAAAGATTATATAATTGTCCGGAATAAATAAAATTGAAAGCTGTAATATATTGATTTAATTTCAATTTGTTAGAATTTTAATTTTGTATAAAATAAGTTTATTCTTTTAACCAAATGAAATAAATAATGAAAAGCTATAAATAAATTCTAAAGAGAATTTTGTTTTTTTCATAAAAATAAATTTTTGAAAATTTGTATATTATATTTTATGAAGTTTTGTCCACCTCCTGAGGAAAGGTCAGAAATAAAAAGCATTTAATTGCGTGACTTGAACCTGCATGTTAGCTAGAAATAAAACAAGAAAGGAATGCTAAAGTCGAGCAGGCTCAACTCTTAAATACCCTGTACCACCCCACAAAAAAATAATTAATTTAATTTAATAAATTAATTAATTTAATTAAATTAATTAACTAAATTAAATATAAAATATTCCATACATGCATACATACATTTACATTTAAATCTACATTAGAATCGTGTCTATGCGTGTTTGTGTACTTGTACATATGTATGTATGTGTGCATTGGGCCTGGTTATATGGCTATAACTTTCTTTATGATCAACCTATCATAATGAAACTTGGTATACGGATATATAATTACTAACTGGATGGGTTAGCCTAATTTTAGTATAAAATTCTAAGAATTACGGGAGTTATAGAGAATCGTTAATAGGGGGGGTGGGGGTGGGGGGGGAGTGGGGGGTGCATCGGGAAAAATGAACAAACTCGTCCAAGTTTAGTTATTGTAGCTCTTATACTTTCTGAGATCCTTGCGTTCATACAGACAGACGGACAGACAGGCGAACATGGCTATATCGACTCGGCTTGTCATGCTGATCAAGAATATATATACTTTGTGGGGTCTGCCACGCCTCCTTCTGTGTGTTACATGTACACTCGCACAAAACTAATATACCCTTGTACCCGTTGGGTACAGGGTATATTTATCGCTTTATTCTTATTACAAATTTGTTTAGCTTAGACTCCCTGATCTATACAACCTCATATAAAATTTTCTAAAGTATTGTATAAATGTAGAATTTGATTCATAGTAATAGCAATAGTTTCAGTTTAAATTACACACAGAGTAAATGTGCCCTGAGTGAAGAAAAAGAAAGGAAACTGGAATCCTGTGGAAAATGTCTTTTATAAGAAAACTGGAACGGTTTTTTAAATGAAAACAAGTAAAAAAGCTTAAGTCGACTTGTCCCGACTTTAAAATACTCTGTACATATGTTTAGAATAATTATAGAAATTAAAAAAAACAAGAAAAGAATGCTAAAGTCGAGGAAGCTCAACTCTTAAATACCCTGTACCTCCCACCAAAAAGAAAAAAATGAAAAAATTAATTTTTAATAATTAAAAAAAGGTATATTAATTAAATTAAAGACATGTTCATGTACAGTTTCAACAGCATACATTTACATCAGAATCGTGTCTCTGCGTGTTTATTTGCGTGTATGTATGCAGCACAAAGTTGAACCCAAGCAGCAACAACAACAACAGCTGCAGGCAGCGTTGCCGGCAGCACTACAAGCAGAGCATGGGCAGCGATTTTATTTATGGCTATAACTTGCTTCAGAATTGACCTATCATGTTTGAACTTGGCATACAGACACATAATCACTAACGGGATGTAGCTACCTAAGTTTAGTTCAAAATTCCAAAAACTACGGGAGTTATGAAAAAAAACACGAATTGCGGGTTAGTGGTGGGGGGGGGGGGGGGGGGTGTATCAGAATAAAAAAATGAACTTGACCTGCCTAGGGCTCATGGGAATCTGGATGCCGAGTTTGGTTATTCTAGCTCTTGTAGCTCCTGAGATCCTTGCGCTCATACAGACGGACGGACAGACGGACGGACGGACGGACAGAGGGAGGGAAAATAAAACAAACTCGTATAGCGTACATACATAAGGCATCTTTGGTGTCTCTATCTCTTATAGTCTCTGAGATCCGCGTGTTCATACGGACGGACAGACGGACGGACGGACAGACGGACGGACAGACGGACGGACAGACGGACGGACAGACAGACAGGGCTAGATCGACTCGTCTCGTCATGCTCTTGTACATTTTATGTACAGAGCACAAAAATCATGTTCTTCAAATTTGGAGTTAGAGCTGTAAAAGAACAATATTTTCTAAAAAACGAACGATCACATAAGAAAAGTGAGGCAGAATAATGTTTCAAAAGCTATTTAGCTTTATTGAGAGGAGCATTCCACACAGGCGTACTACATACTTATTATTTGCTATACATGCAAATCGATTGCCTTCTCTATGAGCGGTTTGCCACCTTCTGACACCTTAACGCGTTTGTGTGGCTTCATTACCACCAGCGAAATATTAAGGGCCTCATCAACGCTCATCATAGCACCCGCATTGTCGTACTCTCCACAATAGTTAACGGCAGAGAAGACGGTGACCAGTTGGCGCTTTGCAAAGAACTCATAGCCATCCTCGACAACTTGGTGAGCGCGACAAACGAGGTCCAGTGAATGACGGTGTAGGAAATGCTGGACCACATCGGGGCCGAATTTGAAGCTCACACCGCGTTCACTATGCGCCCACCCTGTGACAGCTGCGTCCGGATCCGACCAGAGCAGATCACACATAAGACCGGAGCTCTTTACCTCAGTGGGTCGCTTCAATTGGCGTATGTCTTCCATGTCGTAGAGGACAGGGCTTAGTCCGCCATGGCAACAGAATATTCTCTTACCAATGATGGCAGCAACAGGCAGGCAGTTGTAACAGTCCACAAATGCTTTCCACAGCCTCACCGTAAATCGCCTTTTGCACTCATCATAAAAACCATAGTGCTGGTTAATGGAGGCAGACTCGTGGTTTCCGCGCAACAAAAACACATTTTTGGGAAACCTAACCCTTAGGGCTAGCAAGAACGTCAGCGTTTCCACGCCATATTTTCCCCGATCCACGTAATCCCCCAAAAATAAATAATTTTTAGTAGGTGGGAAGCCCGACATATGAAAGTAGCGCAGTAAATCCGCAAACTGGCCGTGAATGTCTCCGATCACATTGACCGGTGCATGTACGTCGAGGAGCATGGGTTCGGCGAGAAGGGCGTCTCGTGCCAATTCCAGCAATGCGTACATATCCATTTCAGGAATCATTTCGTGGTGTTTGTGGGTGTGTTTCCAGATTTTCAGTTTGTTAATTAATTCTTCAAGTTGGCTATCTAACATTGCTTACAATTAAAATTTTTTTGTAAAATACTAAAGAATACCTATAGGGAATTATATACTACAAGAAAATAAATAAATTAATGTCTGTGACATTAGATCCAAAGCTATCAATATAACTAAAATCCTTCGACTGATAAGGATTCATGGGCCATAGCTCACAGCTTGACAATAACCAATAAATATTTAAAAGTAAAACGAAATTTCTTCTTTAGCTTAATGCTCAGATTCAGAGAGGTTCGGTCTTTTTTTTCTCGAACCGAGCTCATCTGGCCATAGATCTGAACAGTTTATTGTCGTCGTTCAGTAACCAGTCATAACCCCAACGAGTCAGTGATTCTGCACATTTAGCTTTTAATTACATTTTATCTTTTATTATTTAAGTATTTTAATTTGTTAAATTAATGTAATCATAATTTTTATTGTTATTTCTTCATCTTCATTTGCTTTTTGTTAGGTCTAATAACGTCTCTGGCTATCCTCTGCTGTGAATCGGGGCACAGCTGGCCGATGGCAACTGAAATTCCCCCACCGAGTTGGATTTGTTATTAGATATTTCTAAAATTTCTATAGGCTTTTTTATTCCGTAGTTTTGTTCAGTTTAATGAAATAAATAATTAAATAAATCTGTTGTAGACGCCATTTTCTCATTCAGCAATAGTTAGATGTCTACTTTCCTTATAAAAATAATGGATCAAAAGAACCCTGTTAAATTAATCAGCAATTCGCTACAATGAAGAAATAACTGTTTTTTTTTTACCAATCGCTTTTGTTCTCTTTCTCCTCTTCTCTTCATCATTTGTCCACTTTTCACTTAGTTGACAGCAACTTTTAACTAACGGGAGCAACGAAAGCAAGAGCACAAAAAAACCGCTTACTTACCCAAATAGCCGTGCGGTTTTTGATAAAAATAAAAACCACACGAAACGGGCATGAAGTAGTACATACACTCAAACATACAGAATCGTGGAAGTATGTGTGTGGGTGTGTGTGTGTGTATGTATCTATCTCAGGAGAAGCGCTGCCCTTGTGCTTTGTTGGGCAGCATAGAATCTAGTACTCGCTTATCGCCGCCATTGCTTTGTGTTTTTTGCTCCTCCCAGCCGTCGACTCTATATGCCTGGAGCACACACTATTAAATACTTATCGTGCTCGGTAACAAATGAAGTAAGACAATACAAAAGCTGCTTATGGCGAGCACTTCTTTAGCGGGCGCGCCTGTGTGCATGCTACAATTTTCTTCGTTCTTTATGCCTTGCAATACACGTATACGGGTAGTTACGAGTACGTGTTTGTGTGTATGTGTGTGTGTGTGTGTGTGTGTGTGAAGCTATTGTTGTTGGCAACACATGCAGCAGAAGTAGCAGCTGTTTGGGCTACTTAAACTGTGCTAAAAGACACAGCCAAGGAGCAAGTAAAATACGAGCAAACTACTATTTTTAGTAAACGTTTAGATGCTTTTAATAGCCTGCTCACACACACACTTGGCCTTGGACTCACGAACAACGTATGCCACATGTTTGTCCATCTCTTCGCCTTTTCGTATCAGGCCCTCCTCCTGCCCAGGCATTTCTTTAATTATCCAATTACAATGGCAGCAATGGGACAAAGGAAAAAGTAAAGAAGCTTCCTGAGCGCTGCCAAGGTAACTGCTCTGCTCCACCATCTTGTGGTCCACACTTAATTCACGGCATCCACCTTGCGCTCGTTTTATGTCTTTACATATTTCTTTTAAGGCTTTGCACTTTAGTTTTTGTCTTCTTTGGACTCTCGGGAAGCTTTTGCTTTGCTTTATTTGTACTGGTCTTGTTGTTTTTATGAGCTTATATAGTATAGTTGCCTAGCTTAAGTGTTTTCAATATCGTTGTCTATTTCATGGCGTCCTGCACGTTAATTGTTGCACTGCTCTGCTCAATAGTCTGACAAAAGAGATGCTGCCCTTCCGTGTTTGAAGTTTGTTTGAAAACTGAATGGTTTGCCTTTCCTATTGACCTAGAAAAGCATCCTTAAAGTTAATTCGAAATCGGTGTTCCCATGTCATTTATCGCGGCAAGCCATCAGCTCATTAAGCTCTAGTGCCACAATGCAAGTATATGCATGTATGTATGTATGTATGTATGTGTGTATGTATGTAGTGTGTGTATAAATGTAATTTCTTTATATCCATGTCGGTAACGTCAAAAGTCAACTGGCAACACAACCGAGAATTTAATGCCGTAAATTGACTGCGTGAAATGAGGTTAATGCTCAATAATGCATATGAGTAAATGCAAAGAGCTCGTCTGGGCTTTGAATCGTTGGGTAGCTGGCTCGATGGTTGGTTGCTTGCCTGGTTGGCTAGCTGGTTGGTTGACTGGCTGTCTGGCCTGGTTGGTTTCCCTGCCCGTTTCACTGTGGCTTGTTGGTGCCCTTATAGCTGTTGATGTTCTTCTTGTTGTTGTTATTGGTGGGTCGCGGCGTACAGTTTATCGATGCATTGATACAAATACTTGCATCCTGCACTCGCTTACCCATACCAACATATATGTATATACTCGTATATGAATAAAAAATGTACACACAGGATTTTTGCACAAATGACTTTCTCTGCATTATGTGGAGGCAACGATTTACAGTGGCAGTAAAATGATAATTTAACTATGAATTTGTATCCATTTTAAATCAAACGATTTCCCAATATGAAATTTATAGATAAATCATTTCTAAAATGAATGGAAATTAAATGAAAATGGATTGTTTCCTTTAAAAATCTAATTGAAAATGATACCTTTCTGTGACTAATATGAAACCATACAGGAAAGTTCCACAAGCTGTGATTATAATATGCATTCAGTTATATTCTTAACTAATTATAAAAAAAGAAGTGAATATAACCTCATATCTTGTCGCCAATTTTTAATGGCATTTTTTGCTTTTTTGGAGTGAAATTCTTTCTCAGAATTGACTGATTGGTTTAAATTGGGCACCAAAATATAGAATATATAAATTACGTGTGCAAAGTTTGATGTAAATTTTGAAAAATGGGGAGTATTGACAAAATGCTGTAGCGGATGGGGAATCAAAATAATTAATATAAATTCGTATTGTATGGATATAAGGAGATATAAGTCTACATTCCATGTGTGATCGATGTGGGCTAAGACGTCGGGTCAGACAGTTGTATTCATATATATTTTATGGGGTTGGAGATGCTGCCCGTTACATACTTTGCACAAACCTAATATACCCTGTTTACCGCTCGCCTACAGGGTATACAAATATTTTATATTAAAAACTCTTTATTGGAAAAGTAATTGTAGTTAGTTAGCTAATTCAGAGTGATTTACTTAAATAGGCGTTGAACTACAAAGTCAGAAGGTATAAATAAAACTTGTGAATGCAAATTGAATTTACACTCACAAATTTCCACTGTAGTGCTATGGCTAAAAAGTTGAAAAAGTGCAATTCAAGTCATGGAAATGCATTAATAAAGCAGCTTAAAATTGTTTCAACACTGCAAATTTATCTCACTTTGCCGGAAAGTAGAGCCAAGTGTTAAAGTCTGCCGTTTGCTGTCACAAATTAAACAATTTGTAGGCCAGCAGGCGCTGCAACTTAGTGCACTGAGACACAGAGACTCGGAGCACAGAATACAGATCGGGAGTGGCGGACCGTAACCTTAGATGTGTATGCTATATATTAAAAATACCATAATGTCCGGCAAATTGTGGATATTTTTCAATTTAATGAGGTGCTTATTTTAAATTTACACATGCATGCGCAGCAGGCAACGAGTCTGGCAATAGAAAAAGCGGAAGTCGGCCAGTTGAAGCTGCTCGGGCGTAAGGATGAGCATGTTGAGGCATTGGAACGACGTATCTGTGTGTGTGGCTTGTACTGCTTGTGGATGCTTCAGTTTCAGTTCATGCACATACAAGTATGTATATATACAGATGTATGTGTATATGTATGTATGCGGAGAATGTTAGTTGCGTCTTCTCCTTCATGACAGCTATTAAAATGCTAAATTGTGAAAAATAAATAGAAAGACAGCGCAGCCGGCATAGAAATGACTTCATTTTCCCTCATGATTCTTCTTATGGGTGTTGTTGTTCTCAACTGGCAAGTGCCTGGCATTTCATTTACTCATTACGCTTTGTGGCCGAGCGTTGATTTTCTGTGATTTTCTTTGCGGGTGTAGCAGACAAACTTTACATCGGGCTAAGTAACTAACTCATTATACCAACAAGTGCGGCCACGACACTGCTCATCTGCCACACTGCTTCCTTACACTCGCACACTCGTACACTCGTACATCCACTGCCACTCTCAATTGCTGTCAGTCACAGTCACACGGCTAACACATCATTATGCTTATCGCTTGGAGCAACTAAAGCCGCCTCTGCATCAACATCAACGTCAAGTGCTTGACTGTCACACAGCGACTGTCTTTGATGCGTATGAATGTCTGTATACACACACACACACACACACACACACACACACACACACACACACACACACACACACACACACATCCCAGGTGTCACTCTTGAAGAATTAGAGGCGGCGAGCAGAGGACTAAAACTAAAGAAAGCACCTGGAGTGGATGGAGTCCCAAACATTGCCCTCAGGACGGCTATCGAACACGAAGCTGAACTATTCAGAGAGACCTTCGACGCATGCATTAAGGAGAGGAAATTCCCCCGGATCTGGAAGAAGCAAAGACTGGTGCTAATCCCAAAAGGAAATAGCGCCCAGGACGCTTCAGGCTACCGGCCGCTCTGCATGATTGACACTGCCGGCAAACTACTGGAAAAAATAATTAGCAGAAGACTGGACGAAGCACTGGAAGGAGATGGCCTCTCAGACCGACAATATGGCTTCCGCAAAGCCCGCTCCACAGTAGATGCGATAGCAGCAGTTATACACACAGCGAAAGACGCCATTAAAGGAGTGCGGTGGCTCGAGGGAGAAAAAGAGTACTGCGCCATTATCACGCTGGACGTGAAAAATGCCTTTAACTCAGCAGACTGGGATGTCATTCTTGCAGCACTTGATGGGAAAAATGTACCAAAGTACCTAGTAGAGATCA